TGCTGGGGCAGGATTAAACACCCCTGAGTCAGAGCTGGAGGCCAGGGTTCCTCTGGATCCTGCCAGGGCACTAGGAGAAAGCAAATCTGTGTTCCAGAAGCTATGGAACTGCTGGCTGCAGTTGATCCTGCCCCACAAGCTGCCAGTTGCTCTGCGGATGAAAAAGGGGATCCTAGAACCATCCCACTGCCCTTGAACAAGCTGACATGGCTGGCGTCCTATTGACGTGCACCAAGAAGAGCCTGTCAGTTCAGCGCTAGGCCTGCCTCACTCATCAGTGACAAACTCAGCCTGAACTCTGACCAGCCTCAGATTGTGTTATCTAAACCAGGGAGTGGTGGTATTGACGCACCTTAAACATGTATTTTCCAGGGCAGTTTCTGCCCTGAGTTACCTCTGTGCTAATCTGTTTTTTAATCTATCACCTTGGTACCCAGCCCTCATTGGAGTCCTGGCGTGAGAGTAACTAGAATCTGCTACAGTACTGGTCTTGCCTTGTATCTGCACCCATTTAGGAGCAGAGATACCGCAAACTGGGGCTTGCTTGTGCACGGACTTAACCCCCAGCTGGTTCACATGCATCAGGGGGGCCTGTGCAAAAACATGGGTGCCCTTTGGAAGGCTTGTCCCTGAATTGCTGCCCTGATCCCATGTGACTGTTTTAGAAGCAGCTGCACTGTGCATGGTCATACACACGCAGGGTTAACAGAAAAGCTTTTAAAGCAATTTCTAGCTATTTGGGGGAAATGTTTCACTATCTGCTGAGAACTGGATTAAACAGGTTGCTGTTCACGGAGGCAGAGTCCAGTTTGGCTGCTGCTGCTTAACTGTTGAATAGTTTAGTTTGCTATAGTTCTTCTTTGACTCTCTCACATTGCTAGACAATGACAGAACACTAGGTGCGTCGGCTATACTTTGTTTAGCTAGATGTGTCAAGGCTGAGCGGCTCAAGGCGGTGAGATTCAAATCCATCCAGGGACACAGAATCAAGGGAACGTGAGGTACAAAATCAAAGGATTTTATTCTAAAAGCCCCACCCATGAGTTATGGATTAAACGATTTAAGTTTTATATATATATTTTTTTGCAGAGTCATCATGGAGTGTGGATGCAAAAGGCAACCAGGATTCACAGCTGAGTGGACTGGGGATGAATCCGGTTATTTCTGGATTCCTTCCCCACCTCCTATTAGAAACATTGTACTCCTGCTGTTTGGGCCAGATCCAAACATGCTCCCTCATGCAAAACTCCCATTGAAATCAGCGGGCCAAATTATTAACATTATTATGTGTGTTGTGGTAACACCTAGAAGCCCCAGACCTGGGTCCCATTGTGCAAGGCACTGTACAAACACAGAACAAAAAGATCTGCTCCTAAGATCTTGATTTACTTCCACCACTTCCCTAGATATGAAGTCAAGGGAACCATGAACATACTTTTGTGCTGAAAGGGTGAATAGTTTTGGGTGAAATTTTGCTGCAGTGTTGTCCCTGGGTTTGCAGAGATTGGCTTGAGACAGACTCTAGAAAAGCATTCAGAAAACGGGTCCTGTTGAGAAGAGCGTCCAGGTGTGGGTGTGTGAAAATGGTGGTATTCTCCTCAAATTCAATTTAGACCCCGCTCAGAGTAGCTGGGCTGGGTCTGTGAAAACGATTGGCACTGAAGCAGTTAACAACGCTGATGCTGAAATTGTCCTTACTTAAAGTTTCAAAGGTTGATACCCTGTTGAAATAAAAGGGACAGTTCCCATCTTTCCCCTGAGCTTTTGTTTCAGGGGCTCTGCAGTCTCAGGTTGCATCACACCACATAGAGAAAGTGATTTTTTCCCCCACAGCAGTAATGGCTAGAAACATACATGCATATTTTAATTAAAGCTAAATTTTGTACAGGAATGTAACAGCCCAGCAACAAAGTGCAATAGGGTGTGACACTTTGGCTGGCTCCAGCTAGGCTGTGGAATAAAAAGGCTATTCAGGGAGCTTTAGGATTGACTGATGTTTTTGCTCGATGTGGGAGACGTCCTCTAGGCAAAGGAAGGAAACATAGGCCGCAGAGTCGAAATGTGCTCTGCTGGAATCATGGTAGCATCTTAATTCTTTTAAAATTTGATCAGGCTGCAATGATAAGACCCTGGTTCGGCAGCAGAGGCTGCACAGACTTGCAGGGCTGGGAATTAGCGAGGCAGACTGCAGTGTCCTTCGGTGACTTCCAGCCCTTTGTTTGACGCGTGCGCGCACACACACGCGTCACTGGGATGACCCAGTTCCTCCCGATCACTTGTCATTCATCCTTCCCTTCACAGGGCCCTGCGGAAGAGCGGGCCTCTTTTGAGGAGATAAATATAGCCCGTAAACAAGAAAACAGGATGTGTCCACTGGTGATTTAAAAACAAACTTCAGGGGGGGACGATCAGCAGCCCTCCGGTTTGTTAAATAACAGGATCCTCCTCTAAACATGCCTTGTGAAAAGTTGAATGCCCGCAGTTTGCAGTTCTGAGACACCACTGTGCAGCCAACGTGGTTGTTTCCCTCTGTTTTAATCCTTTTAAATTACTTCCTGATGCAGCAGGGTCCGGATCTTACCTTGAATTTCTGCAGGGGAATGAAAACAAAGGGAAAAACAGTAGACCGCAAAGCACTTGGCAGTCCCGGTCGTACAGATGGGAAACTGAGGCACAGAGAGGCCAATGACTTGCTTATGGTCACACAGGGAGTCTGGGGTGAAGCAGGAAGTTGAACCTGGGGCTCCCAAGTCTTACGCTCGTGGCCTAACCTCGTTATCATCCTCCTTCTTAGGTGGCCCCAGAATCTCTTGAAGGGTAGGAGAGCTGAGCCTCCCTCCAAAACTCTGTAATTCCCCTCACCCTTAACTCTGCAGGCATGGGGTCCGGTGGGGTTGGGGGGCAGAGCCGTGGGAATTCCCGCAGAGGCTGAGGTTCGCGGGGTCCTGGTGACAGAACGGCCCTCTCCTACGCAGGACTGACCATTGGAGGGAAAACTCCCACCATCACCCTAGCATGGTACAGCTCCACCAAGCAGGGGCGCTAGTGTGCAGAGTCAGCCCCCATGCCGCCTAGGCTTGCTCAGAGCAGAGTAAGAGGATGTGGTGGTAGGAACAGCAGTGCCTGGCCTAGGCTAGCACTCCCACTCTAGCTAACGCTGATAGAGCTCCGGGAGCTGCAGCCAGAGACTTCCCTCAGATTGTCTGTGCTTGCAAGGCCCTCGCTGTGGCCCCTTTGGGTCAGGTTTGTGGCATGTTGACAGGGGGACGGTGGAGGAAGCTTGCCTTGCGGCTGCTGAACCTGTTCTCTGGATTGCTGGGGGACTGCAGGCAGCAGGAAGGAGAACTAGGCCTGGAAGGCAGCCAAGCAGCGAGTGCATCTGACTGCCAAGAAATGAGCTTAGGAAGTGAAATCGGGGCGAGGAAACAGCCCCCGCACTCCTGGGTTCCTCAGGCTGGGCCAGGAGCGGTGGTGGATGCAGCGGGCGCTTAGCAACTGGGGGAAAAGCAAATAAAATTCTGGGATACGTGAACAGCGCCAGGGAAAAACTGACTCTCGCCCAGTGACAGGAAAGAATGAGGCTGGGCTTGGGACTTCGTGCAGCTGCTTGACTCCAGGGCAGGTGCCGAGGCTGCTTGAACCCACCTGGGAGGCAGGTTTGCTGGTCTCTTTCTTGTGCCTCGCCTCTCACATAGATTTTATCTGACCCCTCTCCATCCCTCCCCCTCCCAGTCTGCTCATGTTGAAGGTGGGAGGGCAGGCGGGGCTGATCCAGCCAGGGCCAGAAGCTGGCGTCTGAGGTGTGAATCCAGGCGTGCAGCCCCTGCTACACCTTCCCAGAGGCAGGAATGGCCAGTGCAGAAAGGTGGGTGAGGCCGACCCTCTGCCCTGGCCCTGTTTGGGAATCCAACGCTGCTGTCTGCGCTAGGCTCCCTCAGTCTGTGTCGAAGTTTGGGGCTCTGCTTGGGCCCTGCCCCATGGCATGAGAGAAAGTCTGCTTCCCCTCCATGCACCTACACAGGCTGCGTGCTCGCCAGCCCTTATAAACAGGTCCCCTTCCTGGGCGTCACTGCCTGCCATGTTTATTACTGCGCCAACCGTAGCTTGCGCTTGCTCTGATTATTGGCCCTAGGAGAGTGGGGAGATTTACAGGCCTGGGGGGTGAAGTACCTGACAGCTGACTGGGTGACTTTGGACTTAGTAATTTGCCTAGAACGGCCTTTGGACCGAAGGACTGGAGACGAGGGGAGAGCCTGGCCTCCGGATCAGAAAGAGACGCTGCCTGGGGTAGCGTGTGTACTAAACCTGAGGCAGAGAGACCCCTCTGTATCAAGTCTCCTATCTCGTTTGCTTGTTCCTGCAGGGGAGGGACAGATCCTGTTTGCCTCATGTGACTCCTCCTGTTAGCCCCCAGCTCCCTGTCCTATGCTCCAAGCACTTCTCCTCCCTCGCAGGGGTCCAGCACTGCCGTGCCCTGGTGCAGGCTGGATTCCCAGCCCGGAGCTCTCTCCTCCCAAGCTGCAGGTGCTGAGAGTCCTGGGAGCAAGGTGCTGAGCCCCAGGATGAGGGGGTTCTGTCTAACCTTCCTCAGCTGCGAAAACGGAGGCCCATGAGGTGAAGCCACAAGGCTCCAGCTGAGTTCAAGACCCCATTGTGCTAGGTGCTGTACAAACCCAGAGTGAGCGAGTCCCTCCCCCAGGGAGCTCACAATGGTAATAGATAAGGCAGGCGGACGGTGGGAGGGGGGAAGGGAGGCACCAAGCAGTGAAGTGACTTGCCCAAGGTTCCCCGGTGTATCTATGACAGAGCCAGAATCGACCCCAGATCTCCGGGGTCCCAGTGCAGTGCCCTACCCACTGGTGGCCTTCTGTAAAAGTTCCTTCCGCATTAGAGACTGTGGAAAACCTTTCCCCCTGCCCTGGCCTGGCTGCCCAGGCTCTCCCCCCACCCCCTTTCTCATAACCAGCATGCTAAACACATTTCCCGTGTTTCCTGTCTAGTGAAAGCGGACGCCCGTTCTTCCTATACCTAGCGCTGGCCCATATGCACGTGCCCTTGGTCCTCGCTCAGCCTCCCTCCAGCCCCTCATTCCCTGAGCCATACCGAGCCAGCCTGAGGGAGATGGATGCCCTGGTGGGACGGATAAAGGACAAAGTTGATGGCTGCGGGAAGGAAAACACATTCCTTTGGTTCACAGGTGAAGCAATAAAACCAGCTGCAGTAACAGCAGAGCATCTCGATAACTGACATTTACATACTGCTGGGATCCGCAGGCAAGGCGCGGGGTGAGAGGGAGCCACATGCAAATGAGACGCTGTCTTAGGGACAGCCCTAGCATTGTGTTAGGAGCTGAAGTGGGGCTTAATTTGGGAGAGAGGAGGACTTGTTCACAGCCTCTGCACAGGGGGTTGGATCTCATCCTCCGTGAACTCTGCTCCTTTGTATTCATCTGCGTTAAACAGTATTAAAGCCACAGGCCAAGCTCTGCTCTCAGTTATTCTGGTGTGAACTGGGAGCTGCGGCACCGGGGTCACCGGTGTAACTGAGAGCAGGATCTCTACGGGTCTTGTTTCTTCCATTCCTATTATCCTGCCTGTCTCACGTTCCCCTGCCATTTTTGTTGAGTCCCCTTCCCTGGCCCTTCTGTCGAGCAAGGCGAACCAGCGCAGGACAGTCCTGTGTAATCCAGAATATCGGGGAGGGAGGGGGGCAACAACAGGGGTGGGGAATAAACCCCTCCTGGCCAAGTGGGCTTTCAGGGAGACAGGGAGCAATGGACAAGAGGACCTGCGGGCACAATATGGACTGAGGAGGTTTGGTCGGTTGCCTGCCCAGAGCAATACTCAAAGCTGGATTGTGGAAAATGCTGAATGGTGCCCGGCCTCAGGTGAGACCCAGGAGACACCACTGAGAGCGACACGGTTACTCTGAGGAACTGGCTCTCAGGCCCACCCTGAAACTTGGGGGACTCCTCTCCCCTTTGAAATTGGGGGTGTGGGGAATGGGGGCCAGGATCCCCAGAGAGTTTCCTCTGGATTCTCCTGTTGGTCAGGCCCTGCCTGAGGTGCTGGTCCACTGGCACTCAGACACCGTGCAGATGGGGGGCTGTAAATTTGCCAGGATAGGTCAGACTCACCCGCCTTGGGGGTTGCTAGGGAGGCTGGACTCCCCCACCTGCTTTATAGGTAGGGTTTGGGCCTCACAGGGCCGTGCTGCTGATCTCTTCTGTCAGGCAACTTGTTTTCCAACCGTCTCCACACCCCCCACCCTCCCCAGGCTGCCCCGCTTCAGGCGGGCGGATGAACCTGGACATCCGTGTCTACAAATTAAACCTCAAATCCCCGTTAATTAAAAAACCCAAATCCGCTCTTGCTGAGACGCCTCCCTAATGAGGATGTCTTGCTTCACTGCCATTCCGATGACAGGAACAGCTCTGCGGCTCATTAACGCCAAATTGCTCTTGTCTCCCCTCCCCCGTCTTAGACAGTCTCCTGAGTGGAAGTTCAGCCCCCTTGAGAAAACATGGCCCTGTTATTTGGAAATAACCTCCATTGTCAGCCGTTCAGTCAGTCCTCACTCAAGCGCCTGCCGAGGTAAAAAGCCGTCAGGCGCTGCAGAGGAGGAGAGCAGGGGATTGGTCGCCTCTTTAAAGGGCGTATGAGCTCCTCCATGCGGAGAAAATATCATCCACAGCAGCTCCCCACTTCCCCCCAAACATCAGGGGGCTCTGTCTGGAGCACCCGCGATTGAGAGAGGCCACCAGACAATCTGCTCCGTGGAAGCTGTGTGAGACTGGGCCATCCTCACTCAGTTTCCCAGGTGAAAATCAAAGTAATGCTTCGTTTTGATGGAGCTGATCCGAGTTTATGCCCTAGGGATGGAGGCTAGCTTCTCTCCCATGGCCTTCATGGTCTGACTCGTTCGCTGTGTTTCAGTCTAACTTGTCTGTCTCAGGCTGTTACTCACTGAGATGTTTCTCTCTCCTCCAGGAGACAACGGCCCTTGGGCTCAGAAGTGCGAGCTCGCAGGGAGCGTGGGCCCGTTCTCCGGGGCATGGCAAAGGCAACGAGGTAAACGACGAGGCTGCTCGCAAAGCTGTTAGCATCTTGGTAGCCATCACATGTGACCTGCTGGGAGCTGGGAGGGACCTGCTCCTGGAAGGCCCTTGTTCAAATCTGGCCACCAAGCAGAAGGGAGAGATAGGACACTTCCCTGCCTCTGGCAGAGTTCACTACCAGCTGTCTGGCTACTGCTGCACCAGCTCTGCCATGGATTGATTTACCTGCGGAGCTCCAATTTCTGAAGAGCAAATTTCTTGCCTTTAGAATGGGCCAGCTAGTACTAAATGGCAGGTGTTTCCCCAAAATGTCACGGGGCATCCGACTGAATTAAGGCTGGGGCCCTGGACACATGCCCATGGAGCCTCCTGGCCCCTCCCCCATGCATGGCCCTACCCCTTCTTATGGAAGCAGCAGCCTTCAGATGACTGGAGAAGTTTGCGCCTCTTGGAGCTATTGTCTTAGGCTGTCTGCAGACTCAGGCAGGTATTGTTCACACATGGCTCATCTTTCAAGCTTTTCTCTTGTTGCACAATAGTTACAAACATAATTTTTTAACTGACAGCCCCTAGGTCTGGGCCTATAGTGTGATATATTTTAGCTTCTAGATAGATATAAAACTATAATTTGGCCCTGACGGAGAAGGATGCTGTGAGATGCATATAAAAGGTCTTCAAGTCCACCCAGCTCTTGAGAACAGGGCCGGCTCTGGCTTTTTTGCCGCCCCAGGCAAA